AAAAATATCAGTAAGAAGATATGAGTCACTGCATGGGACTCTAAAAAAGCGAAGGGGAGAGGGGGGGGGGCTGGAGGGAGTTGGTAGGTTAGTTGAGTAAAGAAGTAAGTCATTAATTAGCATTTTCATAAAATCATGATAAAGATTGAATTAGGAACTGGCAAATTGATTTGTAAGACAAATCTGTGGAAAGCCAACGGCGAAAAACCTTGAATAATGAAAAAAAATCAGGAAAATTCTTGTTCCTCTGCAAATAGTCCATGTTGTTTACCAAAAGCATTAGGTCAAAACAAATCTATATTTATTTATATTAAATAAAATAAGATTAAATAAAGACATTAATCATGTCTTGAAAGTAAATTTATGGGAATGTTTACACTACGAAAAGCTGAAAAAGGTAACCATAAATCTGAGTAATCACTGAATAAATTGGATTGTATGAGCAATAAATTACGGTATGCGGACATAATTAAAACTGTAAACAACCGCCACAACTCGAAGTTAGAAAGCCAAAATGAGAGGCGTATATGGGGCAAATTTCTAACTGAAAGTTCCCATAAGCTATCTGCGAAAATTATTGACGGACTGAATGTTAAGGTGAAGACTTACTTGAATACTTTTTATTAGATTATTGCTCGACAATTACCTCCACGTGAGGGTTACGTTTTTTGGTTCAAAAAAAAACAAAAATCTGTTTTTACTAGGAATTTTCAACCTTCGGTGGATTAGAACATAGTTTTTGAAAAGTCAGGCAAAAACCCAGAAGTCTGCCAAGAAGTTGAGCAAAAAGCTGGAAACCATGACTGACTGCTTTCTTCGAAGACCTCACTCCTACTCGCCATAGTTCTGGTGGTTATGGTTCGGAATTCACCCACACTTCTCGATCAGCTGATTATCAGCCAGTCAATGTTTTTTCCCGTTTACGGGCATTGATCATTTTGAAATTAGGTGGCACAACAGATTCCCTCGCCATCTGACATGATAAGATAAGTACATACGTAAGCTGTTATGATGTGGTAATTAGATTGATAGAGCAGTTTAAGACTACTTTTCATTGTTTAATGTCACAGCAAGTATATTTCAAAGTTCTTCACAGAATTCTTCCATTCCGATCTAAACCTGCTAGGGTTTTTCTTATTTTCTATTTTCTTCTATGTATATGAAGAAGAATTCAGTCAGTCAAGGACTTATGCCCTATTTAGCAAAAAGTATGACTGTGTACTATCTCAGATACTGTCTGAAACATGCAAAGTTCATAATTGATCAAATCAATCGTGTCAAAAAAAAAAGAATTCAGCTCGGATCCGAACTTCGCTAGAGCCAATCTTGTGGTTGCCAATTTGCCATGTTTTTCCTCCCCACTTTTTCAAAGCACTCGGGGAAAATTCATGATATAATCAAAGAAAGTCTCCTAAAGACAACTAGGCCTAAAGGGTTTGAGCCTATGCTAAAACACTCGTATGGCTGCTGTATGACTCAGGGCAACCCTAATTTTCTAGTTCTTCCTTCCTTCTTTTCCCATTAATGGGCCTCTCTTCGGATTCTGGGGCAACGACTTTGAATTTATTCATAATGTATATCGAAACTCTCTTCTTTGAATCCCGTGAACTTCGAGGCCATTGTTACCCAGCTCATAGACATGGATTTTGAGCGAACGAAAAGTCGGGAATAGCCGTCATTAACACGCATTTTCGCCTTCCATCCTTATTTATTACAAGACAAACTGTCATTTACCGAAACGATGCAATTCCTCTCGTGTGCGAGCGGCAAGATGCGTATTTATGGAATGGCTGTTGACAAATTGAACAAAATTTGACGAATTGTCAAAAAAAACTCATGAGAGGTTACATTCCAAGAACAATGCAAGTGGTCCATGAGCACGCGTTGCAGCCGCTCGCATGTATGCAGATGTTTTCAGCCTTCGGTTCCGCCATATATCATCTACATCAATGGCATTCACAATAAGTGGACTTGTAGGGAATCAGTAAGGAAGTGAGGCCCCACACAACTCTTCAGCGCTCGTTATCCGCACTCCTAACTTTTATGATGTTGAAATTCCAAGGACCAAACAAACAATACTGATCTGTTAGAAAGAGGCTTTTTTCATTCATATAAGCACACAATTCCATCGCAAAGACCCGCATTAAACAGGGTTTTTGCAATGGAATTGTATGCTGCTTCTGCTCTACGAGGTCTCGCGTTATCAGTGGGACAAATCTCTCGGGATTCGGTCACTTTCTGTCGATCCACATCCACAATACATCACATTTCTCTTGCGACATCGTACACCTCTCCTCACACCTTTCCTGTTCTCAATTTTTCACTTTCTGTAAACAGCACTTGCTCTGAAAGAGACTCGGAGACGATTTCTATTCTATAACTGCCTTTCATAATAATTTTGAAGTTGTCTTGTACAGAAATTTAGTCATCCAGCAATCGTGGATGCCTCCTGAGAGTGATGAATGGCTCTTAAGAAGTCCTTATTGTGCATTCGAACTTCAGGACAGTCAGCCAACGACTTTTTTTGAGGTTTCGAGAGTTTTCTTGATAAAGGCAAATGATACGTTAAATAATGCATAAGAAGTGTAGTGGCCACTCTCACTTCGATATTATCGCTATCTTGGGATCGAGGTCAACTGGACTAGGATTGATTTACAGAAGGGTACTTATTAAAGGATATGAAATCACGAAAGAATAATTATTTATATAGCATAATAATGTCATAAAATTGTCTGCTCTGTGGTGTAGTAGTTATAGCGACCGAAAAATGGTAAACTGAGAAAAATGTTCATGGATGTTCGTGACTAACGACAACCCCATTTCCTAGCCTCACGTGATCCCTCGGTACCCCTGGTAATTCACGTACCCTGCCCCTATAACCACGTATGAGAGGGCGAGTTGCATGTGTTTTGCTCGTATCTAGGCACCCTCATATAAAAATCGGAATTAAGTGGGTAGAAGAAAACCTGCAGAATTCGTTTACCTTCTTTGTTAGTTTTTAGTTGTTCAGCGTTTTCTGAGTGTGGGAGGCGTTTCGTTTTGATGAGAGACACCAGTGGGCCCTACGTACTGTCTATTACTTATTGCTCTGTTCCTCGACTTCTTCTTGATTTGAATACTCAAAAAAGATTTTATATTTTAACACTGCCTTCATATATGAAAATTACAGATGACTGAAAAAGTTAGTACATGTATTTCTACGCTTGAACTCTTGATAATGACTCTAATAATGTTTGAAAAGAAAAAAAAAGATTCATCCACAAAGGTTGAGTGATCATGCTATCAAAATAATAATCAGAAGATGGCGTTTGTACTATAAGAGTGATGGAAATATAAGGAGACCTTGATCTTCCACTCGAAAGTTTGGAAGTTGTTAGACACCTGACTGAAGAAAGGCATGAAAAAAATTAAGGTGGCTTAAAATAGCTCTGGAAGTTCTGGAGCCGATAATCCAGCCAACCTTCTAGGAAAAGAAATTGAAAAAGAAGGAAATATCCTTATTAACAGATGAGTAGTGAGAAAGAAATAGACGATTGACAATCACTGAATTCTCTCATTTTCTATGATTTAGTTTGTCGAACGAAAATTGATCGGAAATTTCGATTCGGCTGATTTCTCAGAAGCTTGGAAGCATAAGTTCAGCCATGCACCAACGTGGTGTGATGCCGACATGTCACTACAACAGATCAGAAGGGTAATCATCTTATCCATCGAAATCTCCATCTGAAGCAAACTCTTTCATATAAATCAATAATTGATTCCAGGGAGCTGCCCAAGGGAATCGAATCGCTTTGTATGCACGAAGTTTCTTCCAGTATTACCTCTTTCAAATCGGGTGCTTTGTTCAGAAATGGGCATGGTCAACTGTTTTAATTTCGTAAGTTTTGATTTCGAGCATCTACTTGTTATTCCGGTATATATTATATTATATCATATTACACTATATTATATCATGTTATATTATATTATATTATATTATATTATATTATATTATATTATATTATATTATATTATCTTTCTTAAATACATGAGCTCTACTAGTTTTGTCTTTTTTGTTCAGATTTTATTCCTAAATATCTCTTTTCAGGTTAGTTTTGTATACCTGTTGTTGTTATGGCTTGAAAGATGTTGTTATAGAAACGGATATCGTAAAGCTCTGGGTTCAACGTAAGTTTACCATCAGACCTACTTCTATAAAACCAAGCGAGAGGATCATGATTAGTCGTTCTTTGTGTTACAGAAGGTGGTCGATTGAATGAAGAGATGACGTTCCTGGACAAAGTACGGGCGGAGGCAAATCGGGTACGGTCTTTCAAATTATAAACATCTGAATTGACCCGATGACATATTCATGCCCAAGCATGAAAGCTGAAAGGATCCCTACGGGCTCGATTTATTCCGTTCGCAAAACGACAAAAGCCCAAACTTCGTTCAAAAATTATTAGTTTCTGCCTTATTTCCCTCCTGCCTCACAGTAACTTTTTGTCTGTTTAGATATCCAAACGTGAAGCTGGAACTGGAGAACCGGTCGATGCAGAAGTCAGGCGTGGACCGGATCTTCCCCGAGAAAACGGGCTCGGCGGAGGATTTCAGGTAATTTGGCTTTTTTGATGTTGCTTGAAGCGTCTATGAACTCGGGTTACATCAGTTACCACTTGGAGACTTACCTCATGATTCGGAAACATCTAGTCGATACTTTAATCCTTGAGTACGCTAAAGGTCATCTCCTTCCTGTTCCTTGTCTTTAGTAATTTTTTCAGCCTCACTATTTCACCCTTACCGATCGCTTTTCCAACTCTACAAACCCACGTTTATGTGGTTGCACAATAGTCGCTTGAAGAACAATGAATCCAGATTTGAATCTGAGCTAGACAGTTTGAAGGATAAATCGAAGACGAACAGGCTCAGCGAGTTCTGAGCACATCTACGGTTTCGGACGGGGCTCGAACCTGTAATTCTTGTAAGCCATTAAGAAGTCGGCAGTGTAAAGGATACAGCACTGTGCCCAAAACGACAAGTTCGAGCTCGAACGATGCCAAATTTTGCCGCAATCCGCCAACCCTGTGAGACTTCCCTATCGCATACTCGGCGGAACAATAGCACTTGACAAGGACATCAAATCAAATCAGGGCCAATCATTCAAGCCATTATCGACACTGCTAATCACGGATGAACATCCCCGATGACATACAAACCTGAGCTAATAAATCAGGGCCCTCTGGGGAACGCTCTGATGGGTTTCGCAGTCAGGTTCAATTGTTCCCCATTTTTCAATAGAATAATGAAATAATAAGGTGAAGGACTAAAACATTGGTTCACACCTCATCGTTACAATTTTCATAGAATATTCTAGCCATAGTGACTCATTTAATACCAGATAATTACAGCTAGTCATTCAAACACCTGTTCGGGAAAAGGAAAACGTATTGTCAAAGGAGTCACTGTTACGGCATGTCAAATTGATGGAGGAAATTTCCAAATACGAGGTTGACCTGTACGGCGAGTAAGTTCTTCCTGAGTTTATTCAACGGTTTAGTATGGACATAATTATACTTTCAAATCCAAATTGAATGACCATCTTTTGTCCAATGTCGCTACCGGTGGAAAGCTTGGGCCAAAAAAGGTGTCTGGGGATTTCTTTCGAGGGAAAAGGGGTTTATGTTAATAATATTTGCTCGATAATAATAATTTGATAGAAAATGTATTTGCTTCACATGATCACTTCATTTCCAGGAAGTGGACCTTGAGCGACATCTGCTTCAAACCACCTAGCCCTAGATTCAACACCGGCCCATTAGCCAAAGTGAGTTTTAGCTTTTCCAGTGCCCTACCAATCATACTACCGTAGCGACGACAAGTTATTGATGACATAGTTTGAAAGTGTTTACAATACAGTGGTAAATCTACAGGGACCACTAAAGTCATCAATCACTTTTACAGCTGATGAATTCGCTACTCGACAAGATTATTCCATGTATTTGGATTACTCCAATTGATTGCTATTGGGAAGGATCGAAGCCGTTGGGACCTTACCCACCAATTTATCTTGGGTACTGATTTTTTCCGTTATTTTTCACCACTCCAATTATAAGTATCTCATACAGAAATTTTGATTATCTGAAATATAGTTGATAGCTCCATAGATCACTGTAAAGCCTAACATTGATTCGTACAACAGTCGGGTGCACGGCGTACACTGCCGAATTCGGCCGAGATTTAGCATTTCAGTTCTTTCTTTGGAAAACACCTCATACTCGTCTTTATAGGGAGGAAGTGAGTGGTTTCGTCACCTCACTACCTAAGGGTAATGTGACGTGGAAGAATCTGAATCCGACAGCTGTGATGTCTGAAGTTGGCGCTCTGTTTGATCTCGGACCTATTGGGAACTTCTTCGAAAGAGTGAGTATTCCTGCACAAGCCGATTGAGGGCAAGATTCTTGGGTCTAACCTTCCACGTCCTAATTTCCTTATCGTCGGAATTTCAGGCCGGTATTGGTGCAGCGTACCTTGATCGCCCCTGTATCGATCCGTTGGATCCTGAATGTCCAAAGACGGCACCCAATTATTTTGATCGATGTGCTGCATTGGAAAAGTTTAACGAATGGAACATGGCAAAACCCGATGCCGAGAAGGTTTGCGAGCTTCTCGTGATATCTATTTCCGATCAGAATTTGAAGTTCAAAAGTTCAAGTTCGCGTGAAGTTTAAAAACCATTCCTATCAAGGCTTTGCCAAAGACGAAGGCTATTAAGCAAAGATGACATCGTAACGCCAGTGGTCGCAGAATGTATGGACTAGATCTGAAGTTTTGGGTGGTATGAATTTCTCATGAATGCTACGCCCAGCATTCAGAATTGTAGGGACGGACTGAATGCGTATGTGGCCTATACACTGAATTGCGGTGGCCAGTCGATGCACACGTCAATGCTTTTATCCTCCTAGACGAGTCTGTATCAATAACGACTCGGAAGGGATGGAAGACTCGGTTGGCCTAAGCGGATATCGATCTGGAAACCCGGAAACCAAACCAAATCCAAACGAGTGTGATAGTGTTGCCACTATCCGCTACACCACGTTGCCCATAGAATGTACGAGTAAATGAAAACATATATCTAAGCAAATTAATTGTTCAAAAGACAAATTGATGAGTTTAAAACAAAACAAATAAACACGAGCAGAAGGGGGTTGTGATGTAAGTGGTCACTGGCTGAGCAACGGTATTCCCGTAACAGCTGATTTGAGTTGGATTCGTCAGTGGCGATGATTTTGCCTACAACAGGGCAACACCGTTGTAAAACCTCAAGAGTATCTTCCAAATATTCAAATAGTTCCAGAAAAATAAGAATAGTTTCAATTTGGTAAAGTCAGTGTGAAGGTCCTATGAAGTAAGCTTTTCAGATCCAGCTAGAACGTAAGCCACTGCCAGATAAGGACGGAGATGAAGACGGTGCATTACAGATTACCGAAACCATTCTCAACGACATTTTCGGTTAGTACTCAAAATTTACTAGTCCTTTTATTGCATACTAAACATAAGTCGTAAGAAAGGAAGGGTTCTTTTTGACTCGCGTACACTTTATAGGCGCTCTTATTCCATATCTTTAAAGCACAGTTCACGTTAATTTTGGGTAACCCGGATTATGACGAAAAATGGAAGATAAGATGGAAAATAGTGCAATGGAGACGAAGTAACTGCATGGATCGGTGTTTCCGAAGTGAAAAAAGCTTCAAAAAATCGCTAAAAGGGGCTGGAAAAGAATGAGACCAGGAAAACGAAGAAGAGTGGGGTGTTTGGACGAACAATGTGTCTCGCTGCGTACGTGTCCTGGTGCGAATAAAAACCCTAGTAACAGCAAAAGTAGTTCACCTTCTTCAGCCTCTAGGAGTAGGAAATTAAATAAGGGATCGCGGCAGCAAAAAGAATAACAGAAGAAAGCAGAATGGGAAAAAAAGTCGCCTCATCACTCGGCGATCATCTGATTGTGTGTGGGTCCTAGAACGAATAATAGCAATCTGTATTGTCTCGACACTCGTCTAACGTGACACCGATCGAGGGGCGGGAAAGCGAACTACGGCAGCAACGAGGCTTCTACTATGCACTAACCGAAGAGATTGTGGGAGCGAGAGGGTCCCTTCTACCACCCATGGGGACCACTGAGTATTCCTAAGGGGACAACTCAATAGCCATTTTTATCGTGATCCGTGCCTTCAAGGATTTTCCGAATTACCGCCCTTCTCTTTTCTTTTTTCTTTGAGGGTTGTTAATACAATTATTTGATTTGAACGAGAATGGTCACTTGACTATCAGAAAAGAAAATCGTGTGTATTTAGGCATTTCAGGCCGCAAGAAGCGGGACACTACCAACACGAAGGATTCAAAGGAGAAGCCAAAAGACGAAGACTACTATGCTTACGAAGACTCCGATTATGACGTTACTTCAATCGCAAATGCTTCTAGTAAGCTTGCTTTGGGGGTCACCCCAACGGATATTTTGTCTATGCTAAACCCTATTCTACTCTTAAGAAAAAGGATTAAGTCGTTTGGATATGCTCAATCCCTTTTTCGGGATGCACCATCACACTCGACTTCCACTCAGAATTGTAGTAGCGTTTGAATGCATATGTGGGTACGATTCGGTACTACTATCCTCCCAGACGAGTTCGGTAGCGATTAACCGTTCCTTGAGTGATGAAAGGACTGGTTGGCCTTAGCGGATATCAATTTATGATTCGATCCCCTGACCATGCACCATGGGACAGTGAGCCACTCGCCACATCACCACCTGCTCCCACTCCATTCTTGTAAAATACAGTTCATTTGATTCTACCGATTTCAGTGCACTCCAAACATAAGATGGATCCTAAAGAGGTTATGTGTTTGGAATATGGTGAATCATTACTGAAGTGGATGAACGCGAATCCCGATCGATGGGGCGAATTTCTGACTCAAAAGGAAATGCCGAAGGATCCGGACTACGAAAAGGTATGATTTCGAGGATCGTTTTATGATATGACTTCTAGTCGGGAAGGTATAATCAGTAGCATTACGCCGGGAAAAGCAGTTTTGAGACTTTTCAAAGCCAATTCTGCTCTTTGGGCCGTTTACCGGTTACGGAACTAGTTCCTTCTCCCTCATCAAGCTCACTAAGAGCAGCAGTACTGATCTATTTCTATATTTGGATTGAAGGTTCATCACAAACCGATGAATTTCAGGTGATGACAGGTGGCTGTAAGGGCTTTGGTAAAACGATCATGGAATGGCCTGAGGATCTCATCATTGGAGGTTGGTGGTAATACTATGCTTCTGAGATCCTTAACGTCCTTAACCACCTTCATTCGTAAGATTCGATGGTTTCTAGAGGCTTCTGCACAAATTCTACCATCATACTGTCCCAACTGAGCAAAACACGTATCTTATTTACCTTATTACTTTTGAAACAATTACAGGAATCAAGCGTAGCAGCGGCAAACTGCGATCGGCAGAGGCTCTTCAAAGTGTATTTCTCGTAGCGAGCCCTTTCGATGTATTCATCAGATTCAAGGTATGATTTCAAACAACAGCAAAAGGGGCATCTAGCCTGCTTTTCGTAAATTACTTGAGTTCTCCCCGTAAGCTATGGCTAGTAATTGTTTTTTCTTGAATGTTTTTTTTACATTTCTACACAAGCATTATCAAAAGAAAGCATGGGCTGAAGTTGAAGATGTAAGGTAGGATTAGCGACTGCATCTTTTATGGGGAGCGGCTACATTCTTGGCTAGTTGTCTTGCACCAGGTGTTGTTCGGAACTTCTGAATGTCGCGTGGGGCAAGGGTGAATACCCTCACATCCTTCCTATTCAACTCTGGTTTTGGGTTAAGCTCATCATAGCCAACCGTAGAAGTTGGATGTTCTGTTTAGGATTTAGTAGGTTGGGGCGGTACTTGAAATTAGCAAAAATAGCGATTATTCAAAAATCATGAACAGTCACTGCCACAAACATTGTTTTCTAGGAGAAGAAGGATACACACCCGAATCTGGACACGGCCAGTTGGAACCCTGGCTGGGCAGAACATGTTGTATTCAGTTGGCAGAGGAACTTCACCAAGAAGCTCTATGGACATGAAGCCAATAAAAACGTTCGTTTATATCCATTCCCTAGGTCCTTTTCGAGGAATTTGCTGACCTAGCGTCGGCGTGGGAGTAAGGATGTAGTGAGGAAAAAGTCAAGCGTTTCAAAAATCAGTTTGTAAAAACCGTTTTCAGTCTGAGGATCGTGTATTCCATCCACTGGCTTCTACTTCCATAGCCGATATGCTTGAGGAATTTTCACAATTCAACTACACTATCATCATTTTGGGATACGTTCTCATGGTTAGCTTATTTCTTTCTGTAAATACTCAAAAAAAATTCAAAATCACTACATAAGTTAGCCCGCACCCCTCAAAAGCAGCAGATACGACAAACGTGTGGGTGAAGTCAGTGAAAATGGCTTCCTACTCGGCATTTTCTTGTGTTCTCGTCGCCACTCTCTCCTGCTGAACCCTTCAAGGACCGGCTGAGGAACATTAGGGAGGGAGGAATCTTATGAGAAGAGACGCGCAGAATTTTTTCCGGATTTCCTCAACCAAATTTCCNAGTAATCTGTTGTTCACTTCTTCATATACTTTCTTGCTAGTTTAATAACTAGCATATATATATTTGGACATTTGAAAACAATTCAATACTCTTTTTTACTTGAGTAATAACTACCGGTAGCGCTTAGGTAATCTATGCCGCCTTCACCCAAGCTAGAATCGAGGGCCGCTGGCTGGCGATCAGATCGAACGTGGCTCTATCATTTGTTGGTGTGATTCTTGTCACCTACGCCTCAATTTGTGGTCTCGGCTTGTCCACTGCCCTCGGAGTCAACTTCAACGCTGCCACCACTCAGGTAAGCCCACTTTGTTGGTCAACATTTTTCGTTTTATCGTTTCCTCGAATTCAAAATGGACAAACCTCCTACAAAAAAAAGTCTGGGAGTTCAGATTGTACCATTCTTATCGCTTGGTCTCGGAATTGATGATATGTTCCTGTTACTACATAACTACGATGAGATCAGTCATACGATGCGAAAAAATGAAATGGGAATTCTGCTGAAGGAAACGGGTAAGCATGTTCAAGACGAAGTATTCTTCTGTGGTTAGAGTCAGCGAACTTGTGGTGGAATCCCTAAGAACACTGGACTTTAATGAGCGTAATTTAGGCATGTCCGTTATGGTTACGTCCATCAACAATATTCTCGCCTTCTGTGCCGGCTACGTACTTCCCATCCCAGCCTTGAGATCGTTCTGTGCGCAGGTCAGATCAAACTACTTCATTTTTCTCTCTGGACTCTGGGCTTCGGATAANGAGATAACCGGTAGCATTGCACGCTCCCGTCCTTTGTGACGCATTTTCCACACCAAACGCCTTTTGTCGAAATTGTCTACTCGGAATTTCGTTTTCTCTCCGGTTCTATTCGTCTTGTTCCTCACTTTGCTAGATTCATTCATTGACAATAACTCTCCAACCTTTAATATAACTATCTTTAACTAAGTGGGGATGCTTTTTAATCCGTCAGAATATAGCTTCCAGAGCATTTTTCTAGACAGGCTCAGAATATCAGTTCATTGCCCTGCTCCTACTCTGCATAACTCCTACCCCAAGCATTCACAGATCATAACGTATCTTTCTATACCCTATACCTATACCTTAACCCTACTTCAAACATTCCCATTACTTCCCGAGTTTCCAATTACCTGTCTACGCTTATGGCAACCATTTCAGACCGCTGTGCTACTTGCCTTCAATTTGGCTTCGCTGATGTTCGTCTTCCCTGCCTTCATTGGGCTCGACCTCAGAAGAGTTCGAGCAGGCAGACGAGATCTTGTCTACTGTGGCCCACCAGCTGATCCCAACTTTGAAAAAGTTTCCGAGAAAAGTTCCGGTGATCTCTCCACAAATGTGAGTGACATCGAAGTGTATTAAACTGTATTGATAATAAGGCTTACCTCCACCTGTTTCCTGCTACTATAGGAGTCTTCTAAGGCGGATCTCACAAATCCTACCTACATCGAGACATACAATCGCGATCAACCATGGTACACTGTGGGTGGATTCTTGACCAACTTGTACATTCCACTGCTAAAAATGAAGATCGTCAAGGTATTCTATTTTTATTGTATTTCTACTTGTTAGCGTTATTACATTATTTGTTTTTCATTTCCTTTGTAATTATGATGAAGGAGGTCTCTTATCCGATGTATTTTGATGATGTCTGAGTATAACATAATTTTTTTTCGTTTTTTTTTCTTTTTTAATTTTTGAAAAAGTTTTTAGGCTATAGTAATCGCGATAACTCTTTGCGGAGTAACATTCGGCTTATATGGAATGTACACCACGACGTTAGGATTGGAACTAGCTGACGTACTGCCAGAGAACACCGCACCAGCTGCGTTTATGAGGTTCGATACATTTGGAAATAAGTGTAGCCACTTGAAAAAACCTACAATACAATAGAAAAAATCTTTTTATCGAAGGGATTCATTTCAGAGCTCGAGAAAAGTACTTTTCGTTCTATCCGATGTACGCCGTACTTCGGGGTCGAACCATCGACATACCGAATCAGCAACCACTTATCGAGGAGTATAGAGAGGCATTGGGTTAGTTTCACTTCTAAGGACGACTGAAAAAATTCCGCATATTGAGAGGCAACCAAGAGTTCGGATATGCGCGTTATCTTGCGCTAGGTGGCCAAGTGTACTACAGCTATTTGAGAGAAATGAAGGGTCCGCGTCTTAGAAATCATTTCACTGCCTAACTAGATTTCGATGGGGACCGGCTCGTTTCCTTGATAGTCTTTTTCCAATTGAGAAGTTTCCTCGACCGTGCCAGTCTCCCCATCATGTTAGGTATTATGAAAGCAGGTTGCGGTTCAGGGTGGGTGCTCGTGGTATCGCGCTCTGGAGGAAAAGGGGTCTCCTACAGAAAGATTTTGCTCACAACATACTGTACAACTAATGGTTTTGATGTGGATAGACAAGTGGTGGCTACTTTCCTTCTAAGCAGTAGATGATTCTAACACTAAAAGGTCCCACCACCAACTCTCAATCAGAAATACACTTGCTT